TCCGTCGTAGAATCGCCCTGGACTCTCGTTTCGGACGCTGGGGGTCGGGATAATTGGAGGGCGCCTCTAAAGGCTCGGACCTCGGCTCTAATTATCCCGTGTCGTGGAGGGCGGGGAGAAACGCCCAGGCACGTGTCTGTACCTGGTGAATCGCGTACTGTGTAGACCGGGTCGTCGCACTCGTGACCGGTGAGTGCGGTGTCGCGGGCCTATCGGCGAGTGTGTGTTGCGTGTTGTTGTCTGAGGGGGGTTGGCAAGAGTGATGGGGTCGTCGGGATAGTCTAGGACATGTTTGGGTCGACGGAAGAGTCGTGTTTGGCGGGGACGGATAGCTGCTGTTAGGTAGTCGCAAGCTTTAGCAATAAGCGGATTGGAGTGGTGGGATCCTACGTCGAAGTGGCGTCTTGAGGCTTCCTTCATGAAGTAGGCGATGGACTCTAAGCGGAGGTCACGATGGAGGTCTATGTTACGCACGTACCACGGACAGCCCGTGGCACCGCGTAAGAAGCGATTTTGGAGGGTTTGGAATGGTTTGAGGAGCGCAGGAGATGCATGGGCAAAGCAAGCACTAGCGTAGGTCATGATGGGTCGAATGCAGGCTTTGTAAATTGTCAGCTTATGTCTAAGCGACATTTTACTCCGCCTTCCGATGAGATGGTATAGCCTACCTAGTACGAAAGCGGCGCGATTACGGACTGACCTAATATGAGGTGCGAACGTCAATCTGTTGTCCAGGGTGACACCCAAGTATTTGACCTGCTCGACCCAGGGGATGAGCTGATCGAATAGTCGGATGCGAGGAAGAGAGTTCGAGTCGACTACCTTAGTTCTAAAGGAGAAAAGCAAAGCAGCACTCTTTTCAGGATTGACTTCGATACGCCACTTGCGAAACCATTCGCCGAGGGTGGTGGCGGCTGTCTGCAGCCTTTCGCAGATGGTTTCGCAACGCTTATCGGAGGTGTAGAGTGCGGTGTCATCAGCGAAAAGCGATAAATGGACACGAGGAGTCCTAGGCATGTCGTTGACATAAAGCGCGAATAGCAATGGGGAAAGAACCGAGCCCTGCGGGACGCCGGCGCGAATCGGGCGGGAGGACGAGAGCGTTCCCTCGACGCGAAAGCGAAATGATCTTTCAGACAAGTAGTCTCGAATGATGTGCACGAGTCTGTCTGGCAGGCCGAGGTGATAGAGCTTGTATAGCAGCCCGTTGTGCCAGACTTTGTCGAAAGCCTTCGCCACGTCGAAAAACAACGCCCCCGTCGGGACGGGTTGATGCTTAAGGAAGTCGCGATAATAGCAAATGTGTTCGGTTAGCCGGTGAACTTGATAGGTACATGAATGACTAGGGCGGAACCCGAATTGTTCGTCCATCATAATCTTATTAGAGAAAACGAAATCTTTAATCCGATTAGAAAGCACGCGTTCATAGAGTTTACCTATCGATTTCAGTAGGCTAATAGGACGATAGCTTGAGGGAATGGAGCCGTCCTTATTGGGTTTGCGGATCCCAATAACGACGGCTTCCTTCCACTCGGGTGGGAAGATACAGTTCGCGATAGCCGCATTGAAGATGGCGACTAGTAAAAAGATGAGTTGGGCTGGTAATATTTTAATGATTTTGTTTGAAATGCCGTCCGAGCCCGGGGCGGAGCGAGGACGTAGATTTTTGATTAACGTTTGCACCTCATCTACAGTGACCGGGTCGATGGCGTCAACAGGAGGCTGGGAGGAGCGCCTGGTGACCTCGTCGTCCACATGTCGAACGTGTTCCGGGGGGACGGGGAGCAAGCTAGGGGAGCATTGGGCCTCGAGGCTGTCGGCGAGGCATTCGGCCTTCTCGTCATCGTCAAAAGCGATGGAGTGATCCGGTTTAACTAAAGGCGGCATAGTGGTGATCGTATCGGATTTAAACGATTTCGCGAGTTTCCAATAGGAAGTGTGCGATGGTGAAATGTCGCTGAGAAGCTCATCCCACTGAGACTCCCGGAGTTCTTTCATGCGTTTCTTGACAGCACGCTGTAAGATGCGCAATCGGATTCGATTGTCCTCAGTGGGGTAAGCGTCGTGTGCGCGTGTAGCCGCGTTCTTCGCCCTCAACAACCCTCTAGCGTCAGCCGGCAGTTTGCAGCGGCGGTCAACCATCGCTGGAACCCGCCGGGCCGCCTCGCTTATAGCGGTGGTGATGTGGTCGTTGAGAGCGCCGATCGCGTGTTTAGTGTCGGAGAGGGTGGTGATTGTGTCGGGTATGGAGTTCAGCGGCGAACCGTCAGAAGGCTCGAGGAGTTCAACGAGCTTCTTCCAGTCCGTCACTGTTTTAGGATCGGATGGGACGGGTGGGGGCCCTAGTTGGAGGAGGACTGGGCGATGGTCGGAGTTCAGTTGGGGTAGCGTTTCTATGGAACGCATCCTAAGGGATACGTTCCTTAGCAACGCCAAGTCGAGGGTGCTGGGGGCGTGGTCGGGGGCTCTGGGATAGTGTGTGGGGGTCATCGGCGCTACGATATCAAAAATCATAGTGTCAGACAACTTGACTAGCTTCCGACCGTTTGTGTTGGTTGAGATGCAACGCCACTGGTCGTGTCTGCAATTGAAATCGCCGGCAAGAATGACGGCTTCGTCCATTGCAAACAGGGCCCGTAGCTCTGATTCTACTAGTGTCCTAGAGGGCGATAAGTATACTGAGGCTATAGTGATCGGGCGGTGACCGGTCATGCCTAGCCGACAGACCGAAGCTTCCATTTCCGTGAGCGGAGGCGTGGGAAGTGGGACGCAATGAAGCGAGCGTTTGTAGTAAACAAGGATACCACCCTTTTCACCGTTGGTTCTGTCATTACGAATAAGATTGTAATTAGCAAAACGCGGGTCTCTTCTGGACGGTTTTAGAAACGATTCCTGTACAAGAAAGATATCTATTGAGTGTTCTACTAAGAAATTTGCAATTTCTATACACTGACCGGTGAAGCCGTCAGCGTTATAGAAGGCTAAAGTGAGGGAAAGGGGTTTTATCCTTGTGTTAGCCATTAGTGGGCCTTAATAGTGAGGGACCGGATGGTGTCGATTAGGGCTCGGTGTTCCCGGAACACCTGGGCCATCAGTTGAAAATTGCCCAGAGCCCTTCTCATTTTGGCTCCCAGCTCCTCGAGCTCCTCGGGGTCGATCGCGGCGGCGATTTGGAACGCAAGGTCTGCGTTCGATATACCGCCGCCGAGGGGCCCCACAGAGAAGGAGGAGTCGGTAGCCGTGTGTGTGGGTGCTAAAGCGGCGGGTTGGGGTGGCTGAGGGTGTGCGATAGCGGGGGGAGGAGGTGATTTTTTGATGATTGAGGGGGGTTTAACCCAAGCATTAGGCGGGGGAGTAGGCCGAAGGGAGGCCGATGATGCTGGTGCTGCTGCTGCTGTTGATGCCTTTGCGGGGGCGGGTTTAGTAGCTATTTGGGTGTTAGCTACGTTGGCTGGGTGTTTTTTGTTGCCGAGCGGCGCTCTCGATGGAGCTTTGGGGCATCCGCGGTAATTAGCGGTGTGGCCGCCTCCACAGAGGACGCAGCTCGGTGGGTTGTCTGCTAGTGGGATTTTGGGCCTCGGACAGTCCTTCGTCGCGTGACTCTCTGTGCATTTAACACAGCGTGGTTGTGCATAACAGTTACGGGCAGAGTGTCCGTAAAGTTGACAGTTATGGCATTGTCCTACTATGTTGCGTTTTCGCGGAGGCTCTACTTTGAGGTTAGAGAGATGACATATCGATTTTATGTTAAATATTTTCTTCCCCTCAGGAGAGAGGTCGAGCGTGACCATAAAGAGGTCGTATGGCCGCTTGTCTTTAGAGAAAAGACAGTTCACTGAGTGTACCGGGAGGCCTTGAGACTTGAGGTCCTCCATGATAAGTTCGTTGCTTAGCTCCTTTGGGAGCCCGCGGATGACTACTCGTAGGACGCGTTCCTCGGGTAGAGAATAGGTGTGGAAGCCAATGTTGGCTTGCCGGAGATAAGCGGTTAGTTTCCTATGTTCGGACGAGTCCGCTACTGTGATCTTGACACCGGTCCCGGTTTTCGACGCCTGGACGTATGAGATGCGCTTGTTGTTAAGCGCACGCGATAGATCATTCCAGGACTTAAGGTCCTGGACATAAACGGGTGGCGGAGGGCCTGTTTTTAATTGGTGCGGTTGCGCGTGTGCCGGTGAAGCCGGTCGCGGAGTGCCCGTGTTTGCTTTAATAGCCTTAGGTGGCGGGTTTGAGGCGTCATCAGAAGACTCGGAGTCGGAGGAACGGGAGCTGGCCTTGCGGGACCTTTTCCCTTTCCTACCGACTACGGTGAATTCGCCATTAGTGGCGCTGTCGTCTACGACTTCCATGACTTCGGGCGACGAGGGACTCTCCTCGTGGAATAGCGGGACATTGGCGGTGGCGGGTGAAGCAGTGGAAGGAGCGGCGATGAATGTTTTGTTTGTTGGAGGAACGGGTGCTAATGACTTAAAGCCGAACTTTTTGGTGAGTGTTAAGTAAGCCTCCGGGCAGGATTGCGCTAGCCAGCGCATTCCCGCCTCGGTGTCCCCGCCCATGGCAGCGTGCATTGCCATAGGGCAGGGCAGAACACAGAGCGGTAAAGTTAAAATAAGTAATGAAAAACACAGTAAAATTAAGGTAAACTAAAACTATGAATAGTTTTTGGGAAGGGAGAGGGCTACAGCCCTCCCTGCCAAGAGGACAGGGAGGCGTGAGTAAGGTAACCTACTTGGTTGCCAAAGTGGCCGAATGTAATCCTACAGCGAAGGGATTCACTGTAGGGTGTGTGTTTATCGAAAAGAATTACCTTGTGAGTAAAGTCCAAACACTGTAATCCAGTAGGGCACTGAAATCCAGTAAGTACGGCCGATAGTCCGGGACCGTAACACTACACTTTCACAACACAAGGCACAACACTTGACTTATTTAAGAGTCCAGAGTCCTCTCTAGTAATCACTCGCGGGACGCGAACGCGAACGCGGGCGCGGGCGGACGCGCGGCTAAGGCGACGCGAGCGTGCGCGGGCACGCAATAACTATTAGAGCGACGCGGGCGCGCACGGGCGCGCGGTTTGCCCTATATACGGGCGCGCGAGGGCGCGCTATGTGGCGGCGGAGTGGACGCGCACAGGGCGCGAGTGGGCCGGCGATGTTGGAGCGGCCAGCGGCAGGTTGGTGATGCCGATGTCGATGTTGGTGTTGATGTGACGTGGCGACGTGCCGTGATGTGCGAGCTGCGTAGCAGGTACGCGTGTTGAAAGATGATCTTGATGTTGGTGAGAAGGCCTATATTAGATAAATAGGTAGTTTCGAACTGTTAGTTAATAGGGGTAATATTCGGAAAACTTTTCATCTATGACACAAATACACATGGAAGTTACATGGAACCAGGGTGAATAAACACGGATGAAGTCGTGGGTAGGGGTCGCAAACCGGGATCCCGGATATCGAAAATACCGGGATACCGGACCAAATATAGGTCTTAAAAATGCCGGTTTTTATTTCACTAAAACCGGTATTTTCGATATTTTAGGTTTTTAGGTAAAATAAAACACTAATATGATAAAACAAAGTTGCGCGCAATTTAATTCAAGCCACCGTGAGATATACAAAGGTTTTATGCATCGGTGTACGACATAAAATACGCGCGACGCGTATCTACCCCGAAATTACGAAGTTTTGTTTTATATGAAGTTGATGTAAATCCTACCTATTCTATTTTATAATTTGTCCTATTCTTGTAAAATTCTTATTCTTGCTATCTACTCATATAGGGTAAGTTTGACCATGATCTCAGATACGGAATATTCCAAAAAACTATTAAGCAAAGCGCAGAGAGAAAGAAATGTAGGTACCTAAACCGTTTTTTGCATTTGAGTAGGTAAGTATGTTGTAGTTTGTACTTTGTGTGTAAGTATAATAATTACGTACATAACTTGAAATTAAATAAATTATCTAGTCTATTAATATGGTTTTATTTCGAAAATAATTATTTGCCATTTCTCTGCCATTCTGGTACCTAACTTAACCTAATCTCTAAAGTTACATTACATGTAAGAAAATTCAATAATAATTAATGATTCTATTCAAATGCCGAAAAACCCGAAAATACCGGAATACCGACATTTATCTAGAGTAAGTATCGATAATACCGGTTTCGCAAAGATGGTACGGTATTGCGACCCCTAGTCGTGGGAAAACAGTTAGTTTCTATAATATTATAAGTTGGAATTGGAAAGGCAATTTGACAGGGTTAAAACTAAATTTAGTCTGGATTGTGGAACAGAACTACTTACCAACAAAATGATCTTTTATACCTCTTAATGTTTATATTTGATCAATTCTGCATTTACAATGCTTTTGCAAATCGGGCGGCTGCTCTAACTACTGAGCTACCCAAGTCTTAACAGGACTGACGGATTTTTTCTAACTTTTTTTCTCTTAGAGCTCAGTGGTTAGAGCAGAGCAAAATTTGGCGTATTAACGTTCAAGGACAAACAAAATAAGCGCTCAGGTGTCATGTTAATTTGTACGAATTGTAAGTTATAAGTATTTGTTGATTGGGTAACACCTCTAATCCTTTTGTACAAAAATATAATAGGTGTAACTAATTTATCTACTGAATATTCGTGTAATTTTTTGATAATCGTAAAAACTCAATGTTATTATGATAGGTATCTTTATTTTCATGTTATCTTAAGATCTAGCCATTGGGTTTTGTCATATAGGTAGGTATTTTTTATCGTTATCATATCAGTAAAACAATTTCATGTGAATAGTTTGTGACTTAAAGCTTTTAAAGTTAGGATTAAGTTTTAAATTAGCTTCCTTTTTTATTTTTTGATATTACATATTTATTAGATTTTTTTTTTGTTTTGGATATTAGATAAAGTAGGTCTAACAGGTTGTTATTATAATTATAATGAGCGACAAATTATTCAATAATAAATACTGGGATAGGACAGAAGGGTAGAAAAAATCCTATTGTTCATTCATTCATTCTTTGTACCGGTGGATATTATACGGCAACTAAAAAGAGGTTGCTTCTTCCCTCCGCACAGCTTCCCTCCCCCTCCCTGACCATCCAGCGTTGAATTAACCCGACCAATAGCACGAGTTCGGTAGTCATCGAGCGACAGTCGTGGAAGGTGCTATTCCGACGCGTTGTAATTTTACCTAATTTTATAGTGACATGCGCGTAGTTATTACAAAATTGTGACTAAAAACACACAAAACTATTGGATTTCAGTGAACGATCGAAGTGGGAGTGCAGTGTTCAATATAATTCTGTAATAACATAATTTATTCCGGGTTTGTTTTAAGCATTGGTGCAGTGTTTATGTTCGGAGCGCGCCGCTCTTTCCGTTCGGCGGCGGCGTGGAGGGACGTCGCCCTCGAAGATTCCAAATAGAGGTGAGATGCTAATAATTCTTGTATTATTTTAGGTTTTTTTTTTATAATGTTGCGGCGTTAAACGGACAAAATCCGGTTTTGAAGCTTATCCGTCTCATTCGTTGTCAGACGCGTTTGAAGAATGTAATATTTACAGCACGGGGTTGGTGCAACTGTATATTTTTTGTTAAATTAGTCTCATCGATTGCTTTTATTCGTTACTTTAAAATCTAACTTTGTTGATAAGATAAGGCAGTAGCATTGTAGGGAACGTTAATGGCATGAACGATGTTGTTGCAATGTAAACATTCGTATTAAAATAGTACCAACTTAAAAAAAAAATAACATCTTATTAATAAAAAGCCATTCAAAAGGCTTAGGATAAAATCTGTGAGTAATAAATTATAACAATTACTTTTTATTCCTCTAAGATTGTTTTCTTGTTTTGCCACTAGATATTTCCCATATACTTAACTAAAGTTTTCGCGATTTACTAAATAAATTACACCTAAATAAAGTACAGATAAATTTCAAAATTATCATTGGTGTGCCTAGAAGTAATAGTACCTAAAAGGATGTTCCGAATTTCTAATAATATGCTTATCTAAATATCATTCTAATAAAAATTTCACATAAAAAAATACTTATGATGATATCAGAATGGTATTTATGACTGCTTTTATTCAGTAGAATTTGACATCCAAACTTTTTATACCTATTCCTATAATGTTTCTCTATCCCTACTTATGCGATTCAATGCTTTTATCAGGACACACAGTCGATCCTATTTGTTGCCGCTTGTGTGCTGTACGCAACATAACGACCGTCTGGTGTACCTCAGGGTTGTTTTTTTACGCCACTTTTATTTATGTTTTCTTAAACTTTATTTTTAATGATTTATCTATAGAGATGATTTGCAGCATTCTGAGCATTAACTTGACCTTAATAAATTGGTCGGCTTGCTTAAGCAGGTCACAAATCACTTGTGGCCTAGGTGACAGATAGGATTTCTGCATGACAGATTTTATTTACAGTGATATTCAATACCTACTACAATTAATTCCAGAATTTCAGTATCCGTTTTGATCGTTAAATTTATCGTCAATAATAGTTATTTAAATCTTGGTGGTAAATAGATAGATAGATGAACTCTTTTTTGCTCACACACAAATGAAAAGTTAAATGTAAATTTCTTAATTCTAGTGGGCAAAGGTGGTCTTATCGCTAAATAGCGAAGTGTCCTATTTTGTCACAGGTTACAGAATTGTTTAGGATTATTATGATGATGATAGATCTGTTGTGAAGCGATGATGACACTAAACTACTACTCGTACGAATTAAAATGACATCCGAATTCTATTTCTCCGAAAACGAATATTCGTTTATTTTCAAAATGCTAATACGACTCCACAGAAACGAATTTTTCGATAATTTATGAACGCATGCAACGGATGAAGAACCTGACGCTGTCTAATCTTCATGGATATGATGTTATCAAAATTTTGAGAACGATTTGAAACTTTCCGAATTACCGTTCGAGAACAAATAGAATAGGCCCTCAGGTGTCATGCCAAATCGTATTTTTTTTGCTTAAAACAATGCTTGACTTACCTATATATTTTACTTCATCTGTTGAATTTAAAAACAGTTATGTTAATACGTTCAGTTTTGAATTATAGAAGAAAACGAAAGCGATCAATATTTTAAAACTAATGTTTCATTGAAAGTGTGCTTTCAACTGTTAGCGCGGCGCCAATGCTAGCGGCTAATAGTGCCAAATCGGTGACGTATCTGGACGTATTTGCAACTACACTAATCACTCTAGTATTGGCTTCACTTTCACGCAATATTCACGGGTAATAAAAAAACAATTTCTTACAATACTAGCTGTCTGTGACATAGGTACGACGCGGATGACAGGCGAAAATATAGCTTACGTCACCCGCGAATGATGTAGCTTTCGTTAGTCGAAAGAATTTTCAAGATCGGTTCGGTATTACAGACGATCAAACTCTACAAACAAGTAGAAACTTTACCTACTTATATAGGTCGTTTTATATAAGCGTATTATTAAATAAAAATATATAATTTTCAAAAGCGTTTTCGATAAGAAACCTACTAAACTCTTACTGATTATAAAAGTATATATCCTCGACAAGTCACGTAATTTATAATGCAAAAATGTATTTCTGTATACGTCGTATATTATTTGCGATAGTGCGAACTCTAAATATCATATATAAGGAATCCAGTTTCGTGAAATGTCTTTTGGTTTCGAAAATAATTATGCTAATTTATCAAACCAGCCATAATCTTTTGTAGGTCTTGTTTTACGATTTTCTGGTTTGGTGTTTTATTTTTTCATATATGTTTATATTTTTTTTTATTTTAGGTATATCAAACTTAAGATTAAAACATTAGGCTTTAGATATAAAAATTTATTATTAAAATATAATTAACTTTTGCACCAGAAATATGTTATAGACAAATCAAACGAACACAAACCAAGAAGTGATTCACTACATGTGAATTATTATTAACTGCTTTGATTACATGTGGACTTCATTGTTTGTTTATCATAAATTTGAAATAAATAAATAACTTTGGTATAGACACCCATTTTAAAAACGCTTCGTCAGTTCGTTTATAGAGCTTGGTCGTGTATGAAATCTATGAAACTTGACGTACGAATTATTAGATCAATGTATGGAAGACGCCGTACAACTCAGAAATTTAAATAAAGAAAAATTACGTGCGTTTGCCACGTAAAACATATTTGCATGGGAAATTAGAAACGTTAAGAAAGTTAAAATTTATCTCATGGTATTTGATAAGGTCATTGTTGTCGTGTTAGCTAGTAGATTAAAAGCATGAGAAGACACAAAAGTAAAGTCAACAGTACATTAGGGCCTCTAAGTGGCATAAAAATCAGTAACAAATTATTTTTGTTCAAATATATACCTATGACGACCAAATTGAAGAACTAGATCTTAAGATATGTAAGGGCTTTGAAATGAAAAAAAAAGTCTAAAACGACAAAGTTATCTCCAGAATTCACAATTCACTTCCTTTTCATAATAACACTCTTTTGTTATAAGTAAATCTAAATAATATGTGTGAGAGTCACTTTTTAGAGGAGGTCTTTGCAGAATTTCAATAATAATATAGTTTTCTTCTGATGTCTTAGTTGATTATATAATTGAAAATACAGTTTCACAGAATGAAATATTTTTTTTTTGTTTTGTGCAGCAGAATCGCTGCCATAAAGTATTGTATATTAATTTGTCATTTATTATTAAAATTGTTAAAAGTAGATTCATCACAACTAAAATAATGAATGAATAAAAATAAAGTCGTGTGTACTGTGCAGATTAATTGGAGATTAGCGCGCCATCTGGTTAGATGTGAGGACCCCGGGATGGGTTGGGCCACTGTAACCTAGTTTCAGGGGTCACGCGGAACCTGTACCACTCGCCTGCACAAATGTTTCAGCTCTCACATAATGAGCGATTCACAGCTTTTGTGTGAGTTTTCATATTTAAAACATTATTGTGTTGGTTTTAATATTGACAAAGTTTTATTAAAGGGCACAGTGGTTAGCGTTTTCGGTTTGTCTAAGCAACTTTCGCAAAGGTCGGTCCATAGGATAAGTGCCCAAAATTTTTTTCTCGACCTCCCCTATGCTTAGGACGGCACGTTAAGGCGTCGGTCCTTGCATCTGCAGTCATTGACACACACTGATACAAGACCTAGCTGTTTTCCCGCGACTTCACGTGCGTAAATTATAGCCCATGTCAACCACGTATGATGTATCTATGCGTAGCTGAAAGAATTATTATGATAGGTCCAGTAGTATCGGAGCCTATTCAAAATGCAAATTACATACTTTTTCCTATTAAAAGTATTATTATAGATTTTATATGTAATTGTTTCAAATGAATAAATTCATGTTGTGATCCTTATATCATGATTTATGGTATGGTAATGACACGATTTATGTTAATATCATTACTTATGATAAAGAGCTGGTAAAGTACTTCGCATGTTCTTCTTGTCAGCTAAGACGTCCTGAACGAGTGGTAGGGGAAATTTTTATTTCGGACGATTCAAAAGTGCTTCTTATAAGCCTACTTCAATAAAGATCATTTCATTTCATTTCACTGTCGAACATGATCAAGATAACCATCAAATTTGCAGCGCGCTTGAAGCGGCGTCATGCATTGGGCGACGTGACATTTCGAAGGATGTCCAGAGTCTCGATAAAGAAGGACATGTCCTAACAAAAGTGACATGAACACAATCGATCGCTAGGTATCGGCGGCCTTTGTTGTTTTTGTGCTTATCATTATTTTTCCAAGCCGCAGAAGTATGGATAGATTTTTGTCCCAAGTAATCTTGACTTTTTCAAATTTTGTCCAGATATTTTAGTCAACACATGTGGCAACTGGTTTGTTTGAACTTCAAGCGCCCTACAAAATTGATCGTGTGTGGCCCTACATATTATGTAGTTTTTAACCGACTTCAAATAAAAGGAGGTTCTCAGTTTGACGTGTACGTGTGTATGTTTGTGCGCGATTATCTCGCGTTTGGCTGAACCGATTTTGATGAGGTTTTCAGTATAGTATTTGTCAGACTTAGGAGAAGGTTTTTAGTATATTAACTGACTAAAAGAATAGAGTTTCGCACTTTGTTCACACATGTTGTATGTATTGTCCGCGATTATCTCGCGTTTGGCTGAACCGATTTTGACGCGGTATTCAGAAAAGTATTTTTAGTGTTACTTATTATATAATACAACTATAAAAAAAAATAGAACCGACTACAAACTTAAAAAAGAGAAAAATGATACTTATCTCAACAGCGACTTATTCAATAAAATGATATTAAAGTCAGGCGCTTATCATTTAATTAATAACCTACAGAACTACATTTTCTTGAATAAGGCGCTTTTGAGGTAAGTATTATTTTTCACTTTTTAAAGTTTTCGCATTTTCACTCTTTGGCTTTTTTTTGTCTAGACCGAATATTATCAGTGACTTCTCTTTCTTAAGGTGATTTAAGAATTTGATATCTATATAATTAAGAATAACTCATGTGTTGAAAGGATTTGAATGTGCTTGTTGTATGCCAAAATTTAGTATTTTGGAAGCTTTGGAGGCGAATAAAACATTGTATTTTTATTTTAAAAATTTACAGTTATTTCTGTATTTGTGTTATTTCTGTAGCTTTGGCATGTTTCATTGTAAATTCACCATTAAAACATTACAATAGGCACATCTGCGTCGTTAATTAACTTTAATAATTACTCAATCATTCATTTACTCTCTACCAAATTGTGGAGCTCTTACTTGAGTCAATCAATCTGACGGGAAAATTTCTTAAGCTCTTCTAAACCCCAAAAAAAGAACTGTAGATCCACATACAAATTACTATTTATCTTTGTCTTGTGTAATCTTTCGAGTCTATTATTTTTTCGTAATACTACTTATTGTTACCATAGTAATACTAATACTAGTTTTTATTACTTTTACTAGGTAAACGTTATTTTGTTATTTTTTTGTAGAATAACAAAATAACGTCCGGCTACCACAATATGTCAAATTTCTGCAGTTGATTTGAAACTCTACACTGAAAACATTCGATTATATTTATATTATATTATGACGTGATGTTGGTTGTATAATCTGCTTTTTTACTGTCCTGTTATTCCACATAATGCAAGGTTGTCTAGAAGAAATTATTAGTGATTGTTACCTAGTTGTTATATTTAAATTTAATTTTGTAGCATAGAAAATACAGCAAATATATAAAATTGTTATTTTATGTAGTGTTGAAAAGTCGCCTAAAGCAGTGTCTTCTCTAAAGCTCTGCCAAGAAAACGTCTAAGATGTGATTACATAATGATATAGAAAAATTTAAGATTATTCTTATTGTATTTCTTATTTTGTTTGTGTTTACGTAATTAAAACTTTCTATGAATGTGTTGTTGGCATTGTGTTATATCCATAACAAATAATCTGTGGTTTTGTTCTGTGCTCTTATCCATAGAGTAACCCCCATAGCAGAAGGGTTTTGATCTGTCTGCGACAGATTATAAAAACCTGAAAATAAAATTCTGTTTCTGCTAGTGTAATTTTTTTATTTATGTCAGACTGCTGAACTGTCTGCAGACCTACTCGGCTATCTGCGACAATGTTGCAGTGTCGCTCGTTGTTCTGCCTTGGGGAGAGTAACTATACTTATTACGGTGATAATAGTAGTAATTCGCCTTCTTGATGTCTAGGAAATGATGAACTATCGAAAATAGTAATATTAATGCTATGTACTAAATTGAATAAAGATAATTTTCACTTGGACACGACTCATGTCCTTGAAACGTATGTTTTAAAAGTATATCGGCGTTGAAGTTTCCATAATATCGTACACTTTACAGGTTTAAAGATTATTTTTGTTTATGACGCAAATGAATATTTTATTTTTACACAATTAATGAATGCTTATGACAGCAATTAATGTTTGAATCAGTGATGATAACCCCAAGAAAGTAAAAAACAACGACTCACAAATAAAAAAATCAGGAGAAAACAAAAGGTTAAGTAAAAAAAGGCATATTCCATACTGTATTTATTGCTAGTTTTCCGTCAGCGGCTTCGCCCGCGTGGTATTGTATTATACCTTCCTTTTGAATCATCCTATCTATGAAAAAAAACCGCATCAAAATCGTAGGGATATAGGGACAGGGAAAGCGACTTTGTTTTATACTTTTCTTAGTTCTGTTTTCTTAGCTTGTATTTAGTTTTCTTGACATATTACAGGTTACATGTGAACCCGGAACCTGTAAAGGGTCCGAAAAAGGTCTCTTTAAAAGTTGTTTCGTGTATATATAGTGCGCGTGAAAAAATAAGAAATTAAGACTAACATACATTGTTATATTATAATATCGATTACAAAATAAAAGAAAACTGAAACGAAATAAATAAATACTTCTTCGCCTTCATCCTCAATTGCCTCATTTCCTGTAAATATTTTCTGACACATTTTTCTTTATAAGATCATACATAGTATTGTTGAATTTATTCATGTGCCTTTCTGTGGTTTCAAATGAGTAGCAATCGGTTATTACGGATTATATTTGCATAGTCTATAGATGGTGTAGATTCTAATTAATAAACTGTAAAAAAAGGAATAAAACAGAAAACACATTAATACCCCAATGTGAAGTAAATCTACTGTTAGAACAGTATTGTTGGTAACACTGATTCGACTAATTAACTATTACCGGTTATAAAAAACCATTTGGATGAGATAATGATTTCTATTACCCGTCTTATATTCGTCGTAAAGTTGTTTCATTAAATTTGGCGGCTTCAAATAGGAAAAACCTCAGAGGCAACCCAAAGTTTCGAATTAATTAAATTCTCTAAAGTGTTGTAAACTTTTAACAAACTGTTTTGAAGACATACTATACAAACATTTAATATTAATAAATAATAAGTGTATAAATAAATAATAAAATAAATGAATCACACTGCATCACAGATTGCTCAGATTCCAAGATGAGTACCTACATCACTATCATGAATTAAATATCACAATATCTAAAATATAGAAGGTTGACTCGACCGGGAATTGAATCCGGGACACCAGAGATAGCGACACTTTGAAATCAGCGTGCGAGTTTGTTTAACAGTGACTGTTTACAAACAATGAAAATTAAAGATTTAATTTAATACAATGTCTGTTTTCATCTGTGATTTCCACTAAACTTAAGAGCTGCTCATATCTGTCGCCTAAATATTTAAGAATCGCTTAAGATGTAAATGCATTTCACCAGTGACAAGGAACCACCGCAACGTCTAAAATTATGACATACGTTATGTGGCACCTTGCGCAAGGCATTTGCGTAATATGTCACAAATGTGTCAAAGGATAAAAGAAAAAATTTTTTTTTTAATCAAACCAATTCTGTTAATATGAAGTAATCTGAGCGAAAAACTGGATTCTGGCGAAATCCACAAGGGCAACGCCATTAATTAAAAAGAATATTCAATTCGTAATATTCTGCGTTTCCTAGTTAAATTATGCCTTGTTCTATAGGCTTCGAAAAGGCGAGGGTGATTTTGATAGATCCTCTATATACTAAGCTATACTTAAAATACGGTTGCAAAACTTCTAGTTTACCGTTACCGAGCCGTTACCGTTATATTGCTTGTTAAATATTCATGTATGTTATGAAATTGATAGTCCACTAGATAACCAATCTCAGAAAATAGAGGGTATGCCACATTCAGTTTGGATACACGTAACAGAAACATAATACTTCGTCTGACAACCAACTGTCTATTAAGTATTCTGGGTGCTCACTTAGTTAGCTGCTATTTGTTAGAATGAGTTAATTGAGGGGTTGTGAATTACTTTTTTTGCTAAAAATTATAGTGTCCATATTCTTAATATCATTGAAGATAATGTTTTAAACAGTGCTTCAGCTGAGATTCCAAGTTGTGTTTTCTATTTTGTCAGGACCTTTCACTGATGTAAAAATTCTGCTTATGTAAAATTCGAATGAGGGTATTTTGCTATAATAGGACAGAACCTTTGACTATGTTACCGATGCCATGGAGGTAGCAGGTTAAGTCAGGTTCGAATCTTGAGGAGAATTTATAAATTTATTATATTTTCAATTAACATCCGGACCTGTTAAGGTAGCGAATCCTTTGAAATGAAATCAAATATGTTCGCTCTATAACCGTTATAAGTAGTTTTATTTAATGAGAAGGTAGTACGCGTAAAAATATAAGACACCAGAACATTATTTAAAACTAAATATAATGCCAATTAACATAAACATTCCTCGGTTGTTAAACAAACGATTAGGATTTGTCTAAGAAATTTACAAACGATTAAAGTAATCGCAATTGGTAATATGGTAAGAATTATACGAACAAACTGTTGCAATGGACTAAGTATGTACATAATTAAACTGGGCCTGAAAAATATTCAGGTACATAACTAAGCTTATTTACAATCCCTTTTTAAACAATTATCTAGGTATAAAATGTAAACGCGTTGACTTTGAATATCTTTATGTGATTTTGTTCAATTAGTTATTTGTAATGTCTTGACTATTTATTAAATTTTAATAAAAAAAAAAAAAAATTGGTTTCACCATAATTTGCTATAAGTCTGCCATTGTATGCACGGCTGCACGTTACGGTACATACCACCACTAAGCAGACCTCTATTAGGACTGTTGGGATGGGGCAGTTCTATACGTAGCGCGGTCGGTACGAATGCCACAATGTATATATAGTCTGACGTGCAGCCGTGTGTACATTCGTGCAAGAAGTATTAAATAAAGATGTAGTAAAAATACCGATATCTAATCCATCAGATATTGTGATGACTTGTACTAGTAAGCTGCGTTATTCTTGGATATGCAATAAAATACAGTTTTCAATAGATATTTTTATATTTAAAAAAATTAAAAGAAAGAACTGGATTCATGGTAATGAAGCCTGTAAATGAAAGTGAAATCGTTAAATAATTAGATGCTGCGAATCCAGTTGTTGAAGGAGCTGACACGGGCGAAGGCAGCTGGGAAATTACGGGTGCATCCAGCAGCAGCGCCGAATGAGACGATACCGATCTAAAGACATCAAAATGAAAAAGGTTGTCATGGATTTCTTTTAAGGGAAGAATCAGGGATTCTGCAAGGAAAGCACCGCACCCAACTCCAGGGTCCCCCCTTTTAAGATCCATGATGGTTGTCATGACGTGACTCATAGTAGTTAAATTTCTTTCTTTCTCAAAATTCGATGATCGGAAGGTATTTGCTTTTTGTTAACTATTTTTGATATGTGTCCCAAAATGTATGGAGTCTGGACCGGTCGGTGGGCTAGTTATCTAATTTAAAAATCTATGTCAAACCCTTTCAAATTTATGTGAAAACGATTTATGTGAAGTCGCAATCACTTTTGTAACGAATGATGATTTGAATTATCAAGAGACAATATAACGAAGCTAAATCCGTTTGATTGAAAAGATATTTGCGTCTAAAGCTTGAGTTAGACAATTGTAATTAACGAAAAAATTATTAAAAATAAAAACTTCAAAACACTCACGAGAGTACGGCTGGTGCCGCTTCCGACGGCAAGAGGGCCGCCAGAGTCTCCGGGACAAGGGCTGTTTCCTCCAGAGGTCGCAACACAGAGAGTTGAAGATATAACTATGCCGCCGAAGGTATTGGCACATGCGGCGTTAGTGATCACTTGCAGGTTCACGTGCCTCTTGGCCTGGTTATTAGTGATGACATGACCTGTAAAAATAATATAATTTTGCTGTGATTTTACTATAAAATAGACAAAAATGGAATCTAATGTTAGATGGGTAATATAGCAGTGGGTATATATGTCCGTGTAACTAAACGTTTTTAAACAGTACTGACAAGGATGCAGCCATTTTGTCATACTAATGCGGAACATTGCCATATAACTAACAGTTTTTTTGTTGTTTCTTTTTCGCATTTGCGTCCATTTTGAAAACAGGACATTTTAGCGTGCCGGCGTTACCTTCGGTGACACCGGGAGAGACAACTCATTGATTATATAAATTTCGAACCGGTATTTAACACCCATAGCTTGGCTGATGATTTTTCAAAAATAATTTATTTTCGAACCTTTGCATGATAATCTACTATTTTTCCTGTCTCCTGTGTCTTTAAACCCTTAAAGGAACAACTGTTTCAGTCTTTGAGGAAAGACTTAAGAGAAGGAGGTCCTCGTCTTAAGAGAAGGAGGTCCTCGTCTTAAGTCTTCTCAAACACTGAAATAGTTATTCAGGTACAGTTAAATTTCCACTAACATAGTGTTGTATTAGTCTAAGTTGTAATAAATGTTGACGGCGGTCAAGCCAGTTAACATATATATTTAGTCAGGGTACCGGAGTAAAAAAATAATAACTAACTGTTTGTGATTTTGTAAATGAAAAACTTTTTAAAGAAAATAAGACATCCCAAGAGTTATTATTTACGATCCCAGTTGTACACACAGCGCATGCATCTGCGTTTGCGCATAGTAGAACTAACAGTACCGACGATGCTCGAACGTACAATTAAAACTAGTGTGCCTTGTTTCAAAAATATAAGATGTAGAATATAACGAATCAAGTGCCCGTCCTACTAACACTCAACGGTGGTTAGGCTCGTGGATATTGGTTGATTGCCCGATGGAGTGACGCTAGAAACATTTTGATTGGCCAAATGCGTTTCCAAATTAACCTTCTAGGTAGATATCTGTACCTGCTGATTTTTATTAGTAGATTAAAAATGGTGTCATGTTTCTAACTTAAAGATATAGAATTTTCATACAACTTTTGAATTTCCAAAAAATAACTTGATCAAAGATCTGATATATATTGACAAACTTAACTTAAAAGCTTGTGAAAAATAAATACTCACTGTTACCATCACCAGTACGACCGAAGCCAGCAGCAGTTGCCCACTGTCCGGCAAAAGTAGCAGTACCACTGGCGAGGGCGATGTTGCGGATGTTATCTGTCATTTAAATAAATAAATATTATTCTAAATCGCATACATTATTCATATACCAAATTAATTAGTACCTACTTCTTCTAGTACTTATCCGCTCATCCGAAACAACGAAAGTATAACACTCGGACCCGACGTAACGTAGAAAAGTTTATTTTCTATATTGAGACTCTAGAACCTTGAAAGCGGCGTGCGAGCCACAGAGATCGTCATAGACCAATCTTGTACACACGGCTGCAGGTCAGATTATACATTGTGAACTTTGTACCGGCTGCTCTTCCATGATATAGAACTTCCCTACTAACTAAGATGGTAGGGTGTAACGTAACGTGCGACCGTGCATACATAAAAGGGATCAATCGTGAAATTACAGATAAAAAGCCTTATTATTTCTGAATTATGGAAGCTGTTATAAAAAAAAAAACTAACTATTAAAGCCAACGAAGTTGTGCCTGGCAACGGCGACATCGTTATTGAGGTTCCTGTGGTTATAATTTGGATGCAAGACGACATTGCTGGTGACGATACGGGTGCCGCCGCTGAACAATCGGTCCGAGGCCCACACGAGTGTAATCTGGCGGGCGTTCATGTTACCATCGGTCCAACAGTGAGCGGCGGTTACGGAGCGAGTGTTGGAGATCAAGGAGGATCCGCAGACGGATTGTTGCCCTGTGACCAGTAAAATGACTACTCCACCCTATGTAAAAAAATATATATATGAATTACGAAAATTTTATAGTATATACCCCCAAGGCAGAACAACGAGCGACACTGCAACATTGTCGCAGACAGCCGAGTAGGTCTACAGACAGTTCGGCAGTCTTACATAAATAAAAAAATTACACTAGCAGAAACAGAATTTTATTTTCAGGTTTTTATAATCTGTCGCAGACAGATCAAAAACCTTTTGCTATGGGGGTATATACAGAATTGTGGCAAGTTCAAAGTGAAAGTTTTTTAACCAATTTTATTCTAAGGCTTTGATAATATTTGCCAAATAAAAATCATTTTATGAAAATTAAACGTTTGCTAAACATTGGAAAACATAAAAATTTCAGTAATAATTTTACGGCTAATACATTTAATTTTAATTATATAAAAATAGGGTTTGATTGATTTATTGATTGTACAATGAAGCATAAATAAATAAAATCTATAGTATATAAGAAAAAAATTACTGGTTTTTTTTCTGTGACTGAAAAGGTCTGAATCTCTTCGAACGAAACACCTAGCATTATAATGATAGAACTTCACTTACAGGTAAGTTCGATTAATCATAGATTATACTCCTGTGTTTCGTTCTCGAGATTATAGATATTGAGAACCCATTGTGAAATTAAGAAAAGTATATTAGAAATAAATTAAATAAAATTATATTAATGAGTTTTATTTTCAAATGAAAACTTATAAGTTAGAACTTATTTTACTTAATTACTATTAACATAAATATTATATGTTATCCATATTATTTATGCTGCTTGCGAAATCGTGTCTTTTTTGCAATTGATTACAATTTCCCTATTATAAAACCTAGCGAAGGTTGTAGATGTACCTGATCATCCAGCTGTTGTCTTATGAGATCAAGATTTTTCTGCTTATAAGCATGAGAAGTACTAGCATGTCTGGTACTATGTGCAGAAATATGTCACATCTATTCCACAAGTCTGTAATGTATTTTTTATCTATCTACACATTGTTTGTACAGAAACTTGATTATATGGTTTCCTAATACTAATTAAAAGGGACGTATTATTACGCAACTCCCTTGTGATATATAAATAATCTGATAATACAGGTATCATAATTGTAATTGGATCAACTGAAATTTTAATATTATTTATATTGGCACAAGTGCAAGGAATGCCGATGAGTGATTATTTTTTCTAAAAGGTAAATTTTCATTATTTGTGAGAAATGATTTCTCAAATATAAAACTTACATCTTTCATATTATTTTGTGTACAACCAGTCTTATTCGATGGCGGGGCAAACTGGTACTACTAACAGACCTACTAAACGAGCAATGTTTCTTATTTTACATTTCACTAGTTTTTTAAACTAATTAATTCAGATTTGATCTTATTTGTTTTTTAATGGTTGAGAAATTTTCATTTTTTCAGAATTTATAATGAAGCCCAAAAATTGACAAGATTGACTTGGAATTTTGTTACTTTTACAGCCGGTTGCGTAAACGTCCATTAAAATTACCATTAGTATATAGTGACATTACCGATACAAATTTGACATCCATTAGAGCTTAAAGGTGTCATTAAACCCTAATGGACGTTTAAGCAACTCACCGTTAGACTCATCCTACTAATATTATAAAGGCGAAAGTTTGTACTTCTTCATGCAAAAACTACTGCACGGACTTAAACGGACATTTTTTACTCTGGATTAACATATGGGATTAACTGATCTGGATTAACTTTTTATCCCATTAAAAGGTTTCATAGGGATAGAAGTACCACCAAGAGCGCCTATTTTTGTGAACAATTTTTTTGTGTGAATATATACGAATGCTTTCTATAGAAAAGTCGGAGAGATTTAAATTATCTATAAAAATGTCCCCGATGGCATACCTGATCTATGTGCTAAGGTTTTGCCACATAAGTAAAAAAACTTAATATTTAATTTTTTTGTCCGTAAAATAAATAGTTTTTTTTTACCCAGGAATTATCTATCAGTCTTATTATAAAACGAGGACTATAGTTGGAACATGGTTTAAAACTGGGTTTCTAAATTGTCGCTCGCTCGATGACTTGACAATGAAGGTTAAAGTTGTCCAAAATTACTCCTAAAATTAACAGTAGAGAACTCATTGAAATAAAACCTTTATTACTTTTGAAGTAGGTTATATTTGATTAACTTCTATGTTATGACTTATGACAGCTGTTTTTTTATAAAAGAATAGCTCTACAGCAAGGTCGTTCTATGTATAGTTAGTTGATAAATCGGCATTGTCGTGATAAATTAAATATAAATGCATTTTCGTTATCGTTAGAAGAAAAATTTAAAATAGTTGCATAAAAATGTGTAGGCCCGGGCCACTGACTGTTTACGTGAACAATATCTTAAATAATAGGTATTAAATGTTAACAGTTCAGTAGTTCTTACTATTTCGATAAAACAAAATAATTTTGTGGTAACTTATAATTATAAACTAATTACATTTTGATGTTCATGATGACAAAAAAAAACATATGAATGATCACTGTCCTGGACTCTTTAGATGGTACATTATGGTGAAAATTAGTATGTTTTTCGAATATAGGTACATGCTGCTCCAAATCTCTGTGCACGCCCCTAGAGGCCGATCACTAACATGATGGTTTGATCAGACGAAAGGAGCTACATCCCTATCAGAGTTCTACGAGGTGTTGAGGACTATTTCTGGCCGTAACTAATGGAGAAAGATACACTCACCAAATGAGGATGAGCTCCTACACCGGCACCAGACCCGCCAGCGATTCTGTTGCCGTCGAAGTCCATGGCCTGCTCCATCTGCTTGATACGCGCGGCGGCGGCGATACCATAATTAGAGTGGTAGTACCTGGTCGGCTCTTCATAAGCCACTACCACCGCCACCAACGCCAGCGCGCACAACAGAACCTTCATTCTGACGAATGTCTACTACGATTTGTGGCAAATTGACACCGATCCTTCTTTTAATACTCCGTAGGTTATCTTCCAATCTATTATACTTTATTATTATCATTATGCATGTAATGCAGCTTATAGATTAGTCTGTTAACATGATTAATTAACATTACGTCTCCTGATAAAAAAACTATGACTCTATTTGTTTTTTACTTTGTTAAAAGCAAATTTTGATACTTAAATAATTACGTAAGAACTTTTATATTACTGTTTTAACAGGGAATTAAAATATTTATATTAGGGCTTACAATACCACAGTCTATTCAATCTCGGTATTTGCAGGACTAGAAATTTTCAATTCCGTACGTACTCGGTATTTGGGGGATCCCGCATATAGAAAATTTATTATTTATATTTATCACTATTTATATAAGGCCAAAAAAAATAGGATGTACCAATATAACTTCAAATTTAATTAAGTTTCACCATTAGTACGAGATCAATCAACCTAGACCGTCACTGAAAGCTGAGATAAATTCAAAAAAACTACTACATCAAAAAAGTAAAAAATAAAGTTTAATAAAAATCGTTATATCCTGTAAATTTATTAGTTGGATTTCAGTAATTTTCATTGTCGCTATGATAAATAAAATCAAAATTTGTGAAAAATGTCGTGTTAGTAATTTTGCGTGAAGGAGATGAAGGTTTTTTGATTTGATGTTTTTTTATACCTTCCATAGCTAAAATGAGATTGATTCTTAAATATAGTCTCTTGTAATTGGCTCACAACTCTGATTAAAAATATTCCAAGCTTATATCGAATAGGGATGATGACTAATTTTTGTTTGTTTGTCCGTCAGATAGAGTGTTAAAAAATATTAAACAAATATTTTTTATTTTTTTTCGTAATCATAAAATTACGGCGTTACATTGAGTTGAAATTTCGCATGACGTCACGTTAGAGTAAGTTTTCTACTCTACTGTGACGTAGCGGAACCCACTCCTCAACTTTAATGCCTGATATCTAAGCTATTTCTTGTTAAATTGAAGCAAAAAAAAAAAATACGTATCTAATATTTTTCTATTATCTGACTGACGGTCTCAATAGAATTGCATTTTTTTTACCCAGTCATCATCCCTATTATTTCCATTTTTCTCGTATTTGTATCAGGCTAGTATTTGAAAGAACGATTAATTGCTGAATCCACAAATGTAATTAAGATTTGCAAATGAATTTGAACCCTGACAATATAGGATAGGTGCCAAAAAAAATGTATATATATACATATTTTCAAATGTAACAAAAATAAAAGAATAACCGTACAAATTATTGTGTGTACCTCTATATTGTAAACTCCCCAGGTTTTCAGAAGTAGAAGTTGAAATATTTTTATTGTTAGTAGTTTAAAACAACTGATTCTTCTTCTCCTTTTATTAAAGTAAAGTAAATAATTTCTTCATTTAAAATGAAAATGTCAGTTTCCCGTAGTATATTACGATGATTATGCAACACATATCTAATGTTGCATTGAGATATCATTACCATATACGAACCATGATTAGTAAGGGATTCATATTCCTTAAAAAGGGATTCATATAGGTTTAATATATTCACGAGATTACGATTTGTACTGCTTCCGCCAAGAGAGCCGCCGGAGTTTCCGGGACAAGGTTATTTACTCCAGAGGTTCCAACACAGAGAGTCGAAGAGATAATTATGCCGCCGAAGGTATTGGCAACATACGGCGTTAGTGAAAACTTGCAGGTTCACTTGCCTCTTACCCTTACTTGCACACGGGTGCCGCCGGTGAATAAACGGTCTGAGGCCCACACGATTGTGAATTGACGAGCTTGTAGACGTCCATCTGACTAACAGTCAGCTGCAGTCACTGAGTGAGTATTACTGATCAAGGATGATCCGTAGACGGATTGTCCTCCTAGTGTCAATATAACTACCAAACCATCCTATGAGAAAAGGAATGTAGAGTTAAATAGTTATAATATAAGTGGTGCAGCAGTATTCCTTGGACAAGTGGGTGACCAAACACTTTCATGCTAGTCTACCGTGTGTCGCCTGTTATATTAAACTTACGCAAACATTACATCACATTTTTGGTGTTAAACAATAATTTCGATAAATTAATAGAATCAGGCGTTGCCTTGCATAGCAATATATCTGTGCATCACTGGCAAATAAATACAGGTGCACAAGCATTTTTAGGGTTATTGGTTTTGGAGGGCGCGTATTTACCTACCTAAAATAAACATTAAAATGGTTTTGCAACAAGAAATAATGTCATAAATAACTACATCTCACTTCTTAAGGTTTCGTTATAGTTTAAAGTGAATTTATAAATATATAATTATAAATTATATGAGCGATGGCTTCCATATATCAAAGTGTTGTTAGCGCATTCAATAAATGTATTATTATTTTTCGTTATTTTATACCCATATTCATTTATTAGGGCCTTAAAAATAACAATTGTATTACACTTAGGTCATCAGCAATATTGAATTTAGAATGAAGTCATTCTATTATTTTCGTGTTTATCTTATCAAACTCTTTTATATGAAATTAATGTCACATGATCACAATTTTGTATCAAGTAGGCACACTTGGCCCTCTTATATATACTGCGTTCATTAATTCGAAGTCTCTAATATTTAATTATTATCATATTATTTTAGTAGTTTATTGATAAATATAATTAATCAACATGGCGTGTTTTGATAAAACTGGCATTATTATACGATTCTTTTAAGTAGTTAATTGTCTATTCACGATATTAAGGTAATGTTAAGGCAGTAGAAAAAAATGTGATCAATGATAGCAATTTAAATGAATTTAAAAAATTATACACATTCTTCTCGTTTCAAAGTTTTTATTTATTTTTTCGTTGCAATGAAATACAGTGGGAATAGATTAACAATTTTATTTAAAAAGTAAAATAATAAGACTTATCGAAGGCCAAATTGTTTATGATTTATGTTTTGCTACGAATCCAGTTGTTGAAGGAGGAGACACGAGCGAAGGTGGCAGGGAAACCACGGGTACATCCAGCTTCCGCACCGAATGAGATGATACCGATCTGGCAGACAGAGAGACAAAAAGATTAAACTGCTAATATATAATAGTGTCTGCTGGCGTTAAATAGTAGAAGTATATTTTAATTATCATCAGTATATTTATTCAAAAATAAAGTATTTTCTATGATAGAATCAGTTCTAGATTGAAACGGCTCAATACGTCCAATTATCGAACGCGCGGCTATTACGAATTGGTTGTTAGGGCATATTAAGATGGTAACAGCGAAGCATGGATCAGCTCAAAATAATAAATGTTGAGTGACCAAACTAAGTATCAAAAGTCTCATCATCTTCGCCAACGCTAGTTAGCTATTTCCAGCTCCTTCGGGCTCCTCACGTCTATGTGTCATGGTAATTAGCTTGGTCCAATTGATACTGAGATTTGAGAACATCGGAAACAAGATATAGCTCTGGAATAAAGCTATGGAGTTCGTTTTATATCAGTTTACTGATAGTTCTTGTATCAGTGAATTAAAAAGATCATGTTATATTTGATAACACAATTTAAAAAGGTATTTAGTTTTATATATACCGACCTAGTAGATATACCGACTTACCCATCTTGATCCATTGATAGAAGAAGACTTATTAAGTTTAATATAGGTACTCACGAGATTACGGTTGTTGCCGCTTCTGATAGCGAGAGGGCCGCCAGTCTCCAGGACAAGGGTTATTGCCTCCAGAAGTGGCAATACAGATAGTTGAAGAGATAATCAAACTACCAAAGGTTTGAGCACATACGACGTTAGTAATAACTTGTTGGTTCACTTGACTCTTGGATTGGGTATTAACGATTGGATTATCTGTAAAAAAATATATGACTTTAATCCATCTTTATTTTCACGCCCGAGCCAGATCACGGAAGCTAATAGAAGTCGTATTTTTATGAAATGGTACATAATAAAATGGCAACTAAAAGAACCAGAGATGAATTCTTAAATATGACGTCCGAATGGTACTTTGGAAAAAGAGTTTCAAAGATAATTCAGTAAGGATGTGTCTGACTTTAGCGTAAAATGATATTTTTTGGCATTCTTGGTTTAGGAATGAAAAATATAATGGTTATTTGGCTTATTGAATACTATTGATATTGTTCGTAGCTGATTTGATTTTTAATTATTTCACTTTTTTTCTAAACAAATGAAATAAAAAAAAAAATAATGGTATCTTAAATATAGTCGTATAGTCTTTAAGTACAAATTTATTATCCTACCTTAATAAAAACAATAAATATAAATGCATAATTACTACAAAACACAATGCACCTGACGTTCGAGCTCAATTTAAATGGCCGCGTAGCGAGTTTGTTTGTATTTGTAATACGGCTCCTTAAATGGTACGAAATCATACAGTTAGACAGTGAGAACTATATGGAGTGAATATATAAAATATCTAGCTGATCCGACAGACGTTGGCCTGTCTTATGAATAACGAATTGGAACAGTTTTCCTACTTCCTATTTTACGATATTTGCAGCACGTATTCTGTCAATTCTATGTCAAACGTCATAAGGTTACATTAAAGAAGTTAAGTCATAAGGTTACATTATACCTTAGTGCTATCCAAAGCACTAAGGTTATATTAGTAATATTTTATATGGTGGTTAAATATTCTCAAATTTTACAATTACCCACAAATTCTTTTTTATTTTTTTTCTTTCATTCTAAAACTAACAAACACAACAAAAAAATAATATTCACGTGTGATGGCGTGACCAAGGGAAAAGGATTCATTTTTATATACTTATAGATTACAAAACGCCAGCAGCATTTGCCCACTGTCCGGCGAAATTGACTGGCGAGGGCGATGTTGCAGATGTTATCTGTCGTAAAGTAGTTATTTCTGTAAGCCTTATTAGGCTTTACAAAAATAGTATTTGAAAAAGTAAGTTAATATTTAAAAGTAACTGACTATTGTAGCCGAAAAATCTTGGCTGATCACGGCGATACCGTTGTTGACGTTGTTAGGGTTCCAGTGTGGATGACTTGGTTGGTTGATGTTGACACGGTTTCCGCGTTGAACAATCGGTCTGAGGCCCACACGATCTTGAACTGACGAGCTTGATTACGTCCATCTGACCAGCAGTGAACTGCAGTCATTGAGCGAGTATTACTGATCAAGGAGGATCCCACCCTGCGCAAAAAAAAACAGTAATTTAATAGATAATTATAATATGTGTGGTGCTTTACTATCCTCTGGACGGGTGGCCTATAAGTAATAAACAGTCTTAAATGTACAAGTCGATCGTCCGCCGCTTGATATGCATAACATGACATTACACCTTCATGCCTAACAAGCATTTCATTAATTTAATAGAATCAAACGTTGCCTTCCAATTCACATCTAATTAAAACAGAAAGATATCTGTGCACTTCCGGTAAATAAATAAATTCATGTGCACAAGCGGCAAAATCTGTTCACCGTTAAAACAACATTAAAATAAACTGTAATTATTACCTATTGAGAAAATTACATTACATTCCTAAGGGTGAACTTCTACAGTGAATAAACATGCAATGCATGGCGAAAACGTCATACTGATTATTTACATAGAGTTATCATATGTTACTTGGTAGCGGTCTGTCAAAACTGTCAAATGGTACTTCTATTAAAAATTTGGTTATAGTAGTCGTTTGTTATCGGTAAATCCGTACAATGCATACAGGTCGATGCATCCTTTACATGCGAGCACATCTATCTCTGATACTCCACAATAAGAGAGCTTTAGTTTCTTACCTTGGAATCTCAACATTGTAAGTGAAGTTGTCTGGTATTCGTTTATTTTATATTTATTTATTACGCCTCGCCATAAAAGGATAGTCCTTGGAGAGGCGAAACACGTGTATATTAGTTGGTGGTGATTGCGAAGACAGCTACTAAAATATCAATCTCTTGTTTTCGATCCTTGAATATGCTGATGTTTTTTTTTGTTCTATGTTTGTGATTTTTTTTATGAGATAGGAAGCAGACGAGCATACAGATCACCTGATGGTGAGCAACGCCAGAGGTGCTACAAGCGCGCAGCTGGCCTTTGAGGGACGAATATGCTCTACGCTTGAAAGTTTGTAGGTCGTATCGGTCCGGAAATACCACTGACCACAAACTGTTCCAGAGTTTAGCTGTGCGAGGCAGGAAACTTCTCGAAAAACGCACAGTTCAGGGTTCCTAAACTTGATGGTTATTATTCTTATAATACTACACATAGTTTTAATCAAAATGACGGTGTCATAGTCATGGTAAATAATGCTTTAGATTTTTGTGTGGAAGAGTATCAGCTGGATGAAGAAAACTGTCTGTATATAAGACTAGGTTCTGAGTACATAGTTAAAGCTATTTACCATCCACCTTATTTTAGAAATTTAGAGAAATTCTTAACATCTCTGCAGATGTTACTACGTTCATTATCAAACATTAAAAATATAATATTAGTAGGGGACATTAATATCAGTATAGATAAGGCAAACTGTTTATCCTCTAGTTACCTCGATCTATTGACTTACCATGGATTAATACCGACTTATTACACTCCAACAAGAGGGGATAGTTGTCTCGATCACACTATGATTAAGACTAAATTTATAACGCACTCATTCATATTACAAGTGGCCGTAACGGATCATGAACCAATACTGACGTGCATTCAAAATAAAGGGTTTAATATCTGTACAACTAAAACATACAAAAATATATTCTGATAGCCTAATAGGGGACTTTAAAGTATTGGACTTGGGTAATATCCTTGAAATGGAGCATTTAAATAGTTCTTTTACTGCACTACAGGGTTATATACAGGATTTAGTGGCTAAAAATAGTAAGGCACTTACACTGTCTAGGAATAAGATCACTTTTAAGCTACGGCTCACAATAGGATTTTTAAGATGTGTGAGAAATCGCGACAAAATGCACAGTAAGTTGAAAAAGGATCCAAACAACGAAATATTAAGAACAATATATAAACGATACCGTAATTATTTAAAAAATATAATGAGAAAAACAAATCAGACGTACGAAAGGCAAGAACTACTTAAATCAAAAAATGATAATAAGAGGATGTGGAAAGTAATAAAATCTATTGCAAACTTAAAAAAATCTAATAACCCACCTCTTGAGCTTCTTAATATAGGAGGTACAAGAGAGGAATCGATAAATATCGTAAATAATTTTTTTGCAAACGTTGGCAGTAAACTGTCCTCTACTATAAGGTCCAACTTTCCACCACCTTTTCCCACAGATCATATAAAACACAATTCTCCAATTGACTCATTTATTCTTGAACAGACCAATGATGATGAAGTAACTTGTTTTATAAGAAATCTCAAGACAAACATCTGGAAAGTTTCCGGATTCTTTAAAGAAGTCTATTCTGATTCCTATTCATAAGGCTGGGAGAAGAAACTGCATTGATAACTACAGACCAATATCGATTCTACCAGCTCTCTCAAAAGTCTTGGAGAAAATTATTAATAAAAGATTACTAAACTTTCTTGAATCTAAGAAATTGCTAGCCGAAAATCAGTTTGGTTTTCGAGTTGGTAAATCAACAGATGGTGCACTTCATAATTATATTGACTTCCTAGCTACAAAACTAGATGAAAAAAAGAAATGCATTACCATATTTTTAGACTTAGCTAAGGCTTTTGATGCAGTTTCTTTTCCAGTGTTATTTGACAAGCTGAATAAGCTTGGAATTCGGGGAGAACAGTTGAAATTGTTTCGTGATTATATGAGTAATCGCACTCAATGTGTTAAGATTGGTGATTTAATCAGTGGGAACGATCTTGTGACGTCTGGTGTACCACAGGGCAGCGTTCTGGGTCCATCACTCTTTCTCTGCTACATAAATGACCTCTGCAACCTACATCTTGAAAACTGTACTATAATTTCATATGCAGATGACACAACTCTCACTTTTTATGGAGAAAATTGGAATGAAGTGTATAGTTTAGCTCAGAAGGGTTTTGATCTGGTATGCCACTGGTTGGGAGCCCATTTTTTGACACTAAATACTTCAAAAACCAAATATATTGCCTTTTCTATACGTGACTCAAAATTGTGTCTCTTAACTCAAAAAAACTATAAGTTGTATGCACACTCGTGTTTTTTGACGGTTTGTTCATGTCCTGAAATATCCCGTTCGGACAGTGTTAAATATTTAGGTATCACTATAGATAAGAAACTTAACTTTAATGAACATATCATTAATATAAGTAAAAAAATAAGAAAACTTACTTTTGTTTTCAGGCAACTTCGTTATGTTGTGGACAAAGAAACAATCAGGTACATCTACCTAACACTCTGTCAATCAGTGATAGCATACTGTATTTCTTCATGGGGTGGTGCATCAAAAACCTCAATGCTAAAATTAGAAAGAGCTCAAAGACTGATATTAAAAATTTGTTTTTTAAAATCTTTGCTATATCCGACAAAAGAAATATACAGTGATATGAAGGTACTGACAGTTAGACAATTGTTCTTTTTAAATATCATCTTAAAACAACATTCCCTTATAATATTTGATAATAATCATTCGAGATCTAAAACTAGAAGGAGACATGTAGTCTGTCCTAGACGTGTTCCTAGGACATCTTACGCTTATAACTTCTTTCCGTTTTTGAGTGGTAAATTATACAATGAATTTAACAGATTGCTAGAAATATATCCCATGACAAGGCATAATTGTAAGAATGTAGTAACATCATACCTTCTGAGTCTAAATTACAATGAAACTGAAGATATTTTGAAAATTAAGGCTTAAAGATTTACTGGATATGGAGATGTGTGAATGTTTGTATGTACACATTCACAAACACTCTCTTACTATAAACACATACACACAAGCACACACAAACACAAAAATGCACACATCCGCCCACTCGCTTGCATACGGTCTCAAGTCTCAACTTGATGTGATACTTTTTTTTTTGCTTTTCATTGTTTTGAAACCTTTTCTTTAAAAGTGGCATTGTGGTTATTAATTCGAGAGGTGGAGGCCAGGAGTGCCATAGAACGGGGTCTACCTAGTTTGGACTCCTGTCTTCTACATAAACTTGCTGTATTTTTATGTTGTACATATTTGTTGCTCAAAATGTAGAAGAAAATAAAATAAAGATTATTATTAACCGTCCAAATGATGGGCGTGGATTTCTTGTTGCGTGGAACGATGGCGGAAAGTATCGGCAGGTATGAGTCCGAACAATTCCTTGGAGCATTCCCCGTAGTAAATGCGATAGAAAATGCACAGTGAAGCAACATCTCTACGCAGGGCCAGTGGATCAAGCCGACTTGAAGTGTCCTGGCAATCGACGATTCGAGTCGCTCTCCGCTGAATGTGGTCTAGAGGGAGAAGCTAGTATTGGGGTGCCCCTGCCCAAAGATGAGAACAGTATTCCATATGGGGCCGAACCTGCGCTTTGTAAAGCTGTAGGCGATGCGCCGGAGTGAAATACTGCCTCGATCTATTCAGCACACCAAACTTCTTAGATGCTAATTTAGCCTTATCCTCTAAGTGACCACGAAACTGGACCTCGCTCGATATGTCGACACCGAGAATCTCAATATTGGCAGAAACAGTTAGGGGAATATTTTGAAAGCAAGGTGATACGACAAATGGGGCTTTTTTGGCGGTGAACGCGCAAACCGACCAAATTAAGTCGACCCCAGTTAGAGACTTTCTCAAACGAAGATTCAATATCAGACACAAGTTAATTCCGGCTCTCAATGACGCTTTCCCGAGAAATATTAGCACGACCGATATAGGTGGAGTCCTTCGTGCTGTCATCTGCATAAAAATGAATACCGCTAATTTGCAGCATATCATTAATATGCAGAAGAAAAAGTGTAGGTGATAGCACACTTCCTTGGGGAACACCAGCATTTATAGACGGAAGGTCCGGGCATTCACCGTCGATTATAACCTTAATGCTTCTGTCTGTCAAAAAACTAGTGACCCATGCACATAATTTCGCGGGAAGCCCATACGAGGGAAGTTTTGATAGAAGAGTTTTGTGCCACACCCGATCGAAGGCTTTCGCTATGTCCAAATTTACTGCCAGGGCCTCCCCCTTTGTTTCAATTGCCGTAGCCCAGTTATGTGTTAAGTAAACTAGAAGATCGCCAGCAGAGCGACCACTACGAAATCCGTATTGTTGGTCATTAAGCAACTGGTGATCCTCTAGGTACCGAAGGAGCTGTCGGTTGATAATGGACTCCATTATCTATGAAAGCAAAGGGGTTATAGTGATCGGCCTGTAGTTGGACGGGTTCGAGCGGTCACCTTTTTTGGAATCGGATGCACTAAAGCAGTTTTATAAGTCTTCCATGAGGTTGGGACGACGCTAGATGAGTAAGACCCGGAATAGGCACGTTAAGACCGGTGCCAACTCTGGAGCGCACGTCCTTAGCACAATAGGGGGATACCATCGGGCCCACTAGGCTTGTGGATCGAGTGATTTTTCTATTATATTTTTTTAGTATGTAGATAAATCTCGATGTGCTTATGTCTAAATGGGCTAAAACTGAATGGGCATCCTTACCGAAAGCATCTAATGTGGTGGAAGGAGATGAAACCGTTTAAAATTTGTTCCAACTTTCTATTTTTTTTCATAAATACTTAATATTACATTGCTCTATTATAATAATACTATTAATTATAGGTATGTAATTAGAATATTCGTAAATTTTTTTGAGTAAAAATATTGAGTATGGTATTTTTCGGTCTATTTCATATAATATCTCATCACTCGTCTATATTTTTTTAATTAAATGGTCAACTCAGTACGTCGTATTATCTTTATCCTATTAATTTAGAAGTACCTATAACATACTCTTGACATAATATATGACCGAGTAAAGAGCGATTTCTAAAGGGTGATTAGTAAAATACTGAGTCAATGTCTGCCAATTAGTTCATTTTTAATTACACTCACTAAATGAGGGTGAGCTTCGACACCGGCACCTGAGTCGCCAGCGATTATGCCGTCGTCGAAATCCATTGCCTACTCTATCTGTTTGATACGCGCTGCGACGGCGAAACCATAATTGTAGTGGTAGGGATGGCGCTTCATGCTTCTACCACCGCCACCAACGCCAGCGCGCACAAGAGAACCTTCATTCTGACGAGTGTATACCACTTGTGTCAAAAAGATAGTAATTCTCATTTTAAGACTCTGTTTATTATTTTCAAACGTCTAATGGTTAATTATTATCATCTAATTTTTACTGATAAATACGTACATATGATTTATCACAGTGATACCTCCAGCACGTTTTTTGAGCACCGAGATTTGATTAAAAAATCCAAGAATCAACATTATCTTGTCACTAACTGCAAGTCCCTAAATCTAAGTCGTGATTTAGTTATAATTTTTATTCGTGCACTGTAGGGACTTGCCACAAATTCAAATAGCACAGGATAGATAGAGTAAGCATCCTTGGAGGAAGCCTTTACCTTGCATAGAGAAATAAAATCACTCGGTTTTTTTAGAAAAGTAATTACTAACAAATATTAAGTAATTTAAATTAGCAACTAAGATATAAACTGCTCGCATCCAGGGGGCTGCAGGGGGGGGGGGACTGAGAGTCGTCCGGTGCGCGGTTGCCATTCTAGAACTTTCTTACCCAACAGCCGCATTAGTTCTTTCTGCTATATGTCTCGCCCACTAACAGTTCAGTCAGTTAAGATCAGGATAACTAATGAGATTGTCGAATTTGTTTTTTCTAATACATGATATTAATAGGGATTCTTTCTTATTAGCATAATGTTTTTATACCTAAATATTTTGGCATAATTTATTTCGCATAGTAATACTAAAATAAATGTTTTCATTGTATACAATATTTGTTTGCGTAATTATCGTAGTATATTTTTTATTTCATTAGTTATTTGATAAGTTTAATTAGCTTATTGTTCCTAGATATTTAGCTTAGGTTAAATTGAGCTTTTACCTTCCTGGGCCATACCGAGTAGAACCATTGATGTGAGGTTTTATCAGGTAAACCAGCCGTTAAGACTGACGTTCCTTTCGGGACGGAATCCTAATTTTAGGCTTATGGGGAAAAAATAAAAAAGGTTATCTTAGCTTAGAACTGACCTGAACCAAACATAAAACGAGCCGAGCCAGCGAAGCGAGATTCTTGAACAAGTTTTTGAATTTATGCTTTATAGATTTTATGTTTGAATAATTATGCATAAGCTGTTATCCTTATGCGTAAATATAATTATGACATATCTCATAATCTGACGATTATCTGAAGGGATTTACTTAAACTGACACAATTATTTTTTTTTTTTAATTTTTTCAAATCATTGAGCTTAATTAAATAGAATAGCACCGGAGTTAGCATGCAAATAAAAAAGCGTATGTTTTTTTTATGTAAAATACTTATATTTATAAGAAAATGATTATATGAAAATTTAATTTTTACAGTATTTTTTATTAATTATCATCTTCATCGCTAGAATCATCTTCCTCTTCTTCTCTTAGTAAATATGTAAAAAGTTTAATTCACAAAATTTACATTAAAATAACAAAATAAGCAAAAACGTTGGAAATACGATGTAAACAATATCACGCCACGAACGAGTCTGTGTCATCAGCTGTCATGACGTCATGGCAACCAAAACCAGAGTGGGGACGGAGTGAGAGAGTAATAGATAGAAAAAGAGAGAGAAATAGTGATGCGGAGAAGGAAATATAGGTATCACGTAGCTTAAACGCATTAAATCTTATCATACAAACTTATGCCGTTTTAAATTATTTCTTAAGATTATAATGAAATAGCATTGAGAATGTAAAAGATACTAAAAACAAACAAATGCGTCTTTCAAATAACAATTTCGTATATTTTCCGTTGTACTCGCAACTACGTAAATAATGACCTCAGTTATTATTCGTTGTTATCTCAAATTTCGTCCCAACCCAATTCGAATAGATGATCAGGTCATGATAGGTTCCGTATCATTTTCTGATTGCGTATCACTATTTGTTTTCGCTTCGTGGAAATAACATCCGGCGTCCATTCCGATGTATTCCATATTAATAAATTATCTTTCAGACGCTTCTCCTTTCTTTATGAAATACTTTTTTGAGTGCTCTTTTGTTATATTTTCAGGTTGTTATTATTATCATAATCTTCAGTGTTAGGGTTGACGATCTCAAATTTCAAAAAGGAATTCAACCTAGAAAAGCCAGGAAAAAATTTAAAAAAATTTAGTTTCGAAACAAGTTGTAGTAATTTAATAGTTAAGTTAAATTTTAGGTATTTTACAACATGCAAGAGTATTTTAAGAAACCTTATTAATCACAAAATATTCATTCAAACAGATTCTTAAAAAAAATCACTAGCTCCAGGTACCCCCTTAGATGGTACTCGATATTTATCAGTATTGCAATGTGAATACAAAATTTTATAATTTATATCTAATTTAATTTAAGTATGTTAATGAAAAAACTAGAGTATTTGTATTTTATTATATTTCAAACTGTACTAAAGCTCTATTTGTGTTGTTATAAGTATTATTAGATCTTATTTTCAGTAAACAAACTTTGAAAAACTGCATGCTAAAAATCCGTCATGAATCTCGGAGTACAGTAGGGATATGATATTAATGACATCTCTTTAATCTTTTATCTCTAAAAAAGAGAGAAATACAACGTAAACATGATTCACGGTAACAAACACAGTGCACTTATTACGAAATTTTCCTGAATCGCTGCGTTTTACTTACCTAGGTTCATATATACGAAACCAATTTAAATCGATCATCATACCCTAGGATATATAGCTTATAGATAGCCTTATACCATAGGAAAGCAGACTTCGAAGTCTTTTGAAAGCAAATGTAAAGTTACACATTTTTTACAGCGAACGAATCTGTCTGTCTGTATTTGCGGCGCGCCCTGCTTGACTTGAGTTTCGTTCATATCGTCTGCCGCGCCGCTTGGAAGTTTATTGACCCGGCGACCGTGACACAACACAAACCCCCCCACCATCGTGGTTCGCGAGGAGTCTATCCATAACAACTTATTTATTACAAATTCCGTTTGTCTGTGGCCATCCGAACCGGCATTCGATTTAATATTCTATAAAATTCCCGTGTTTTTTGGAAGATTAGTTGAAGGTTCATGTTTATTTGAATCCCTTCAGAAGTAATGATATTGATCACACAAAAATGATCTTTGTGTACCATATTTTTTTCGTCGAAGAGGTTTATCCCATTTGTCAATCATAATAGGGCGTCAGATTCAATTGTTCTTTTTTCATTTTAGTTTCATTTTATGATCACATTTATTTTCCTTTTAATGGGTTTCATGTAGTTTAGTGTTCTTAAATTCTCATTAATTTTACTGAATGGCCTTAAAAAAAGTTTCAATGTTTTACTTTATATTAATTTTTTTCATACATTGGATGCCGCTTTATTTGCTGAAATTACAAATCTGCAACTACCGGAACGGCAGATAACGTAGAGGAAAAATGTGGATGTATTTACTTGTCGCATGGGTTTACATACGATACCTACTAACTATATAGTAAGTTTTAGTGACAAAACGCCGAAAAAGTTTAAAGAAAAAAGATTTATGTATAGTTCAGCGATACCAAAAACAACATGTTTTTAAATTGACTTCAGAAAACCAAATAATTTGAAAAACTTCCTTTTTTTTTTCATTATTTTTATTTTGCGAAACCAAAGTTAGAGACGAGGCATTTTCATTCATTGATATACACAAATATCTTCAAAAGTAGCTCTCCTGTTAGTCTCGTAACAAGGTACCTATAAGGTGCTTAAACTTCATATTTCATAACGAAATTAATGATATCAACTATATTCCGTTACATCTGCCACAGTGTTTCTAATAATTACTCATCTCATTAAGGACACTATTTTGGATGAATGTCATGGCCATGTGCGTGCCTCAATTTATTATAGTGATTATCGACAAAAATTTTCATCCTACGGAAAACGAGGTAACCATTTTATTAGTTATTATAGTAATTTGTTTTCTTTATTCATTAGATTCAATAAGCAAACATTTAACACTTAACATCTTCGTTAATATAATAGTTTTTAACAAAGATATATTTACTCTTCAGCTCGTTTTTTACTTTTTTTTTGTCACAAACGATACAGTGGCCTCCTTACTTTCGACCTTTGTGTTAAAAGAAAGAAAATGTGTTACAATGTTTATTCAAAGTGGCTGGTTTTTACCGATGGTTGTAGCAAAATTATGCGCCGTTTGTTATGTATATTTTTTATTTGTTTATTGGTATATTATTGATATTGCACCTCGTTGTGATTTAATCTATACAAATTCGTCAGGCCAATAAGAATTGTACGCAATTGCGTAATCAAACGACCTAGGGTTTTTACATCTCCTTTTGCCAAATATTAAACTCGATCATTTTTGGTATTACAAAATGCTTTGAATTAATGCATTATTTATTACCGTTTCTTTTATATATACTGACCTTATCTGTGTTGTTCCAAAGACGGTAAAACATCAAACAACATAATACTTAACAGGTATATCCTCAGTTTTAAGTTCTAAGTCCAGAAGTTTTAGTTTTAAGTATAGAAATGAGAAAATTCCATAAGAACTTTCATCTTCTATTTAATATCGGATTACGTAAAATCCCGTTTTTGTGAGCACCTACGTACTAAAAAGAACTGCAAAATTTGAAACTCCTAGCACTTGTAGTTTCTGAGATTTCGTGATGAGTGAGTGAACGCGGGCGAAGCCGCTGACGGAAAGCTAGTAATTATTACAATGCAGTTGTTGATTATTGCAGATGAAGAGACGAGTGGTAAACCTCGCGGCGGCGAGGTGAGACGGTGATGGATCACGCGGTGAAGGCGATGTCAGCGCGCGGGCCGCTCGCGCGGCTCGTGGCGCGCCGCCGTTTCGAGTCCGCTGAGCTTGAAGAACTTTACGCTCGGTACGCGTGCAAATTACAACGCACCTCCGTCGGCTATGCGCTAGCGCTGTGGGCTGTGCTGGCGGCGGCGCTAGCTGCTGTCGAGGCGACCCGAGGCTGGCGAACGGCACCTCAGGTACCAGTATCTTAACCTTTGTCATAGATGAGTTGGTTCCTTCTTTACTATTAAAACGGTTTGAAAAGATCGTTATGTGCCTGAAGATTCAGGTGATATGGAACTTGCAGTTAGGAGATTCTTATAGTGTGATTATTATTTAATCTAATCACTTAATAATGTTTTTAATGTTAATTTGTGTTTTATAATGTAGTGTTGTTAATTATTTAATTTGCTTTCACTATCGTATTGTGTTACACCTGTAATCATAGTCAGAAGTAACGGAAATGAATTTTAGAAGTTAGATAAAGATTTGCTTAGATGAGTGAGTTATACGGCGTAATACGGCGTAATTACCTTGGTTCCCGATATCCGCGTGCGGACCATATCGAACAGTGTAAATACGCCATTACAGAGCAGACAACGGTTGCTATAAGAAATGAAGATCGAGGAAAGAAGGTTGTCCATAGCTATAGAACCTATGGAATAATATGAGTACGTATTATCAATTTCCAAAGGAAATGGTTGTCTTTTTGTCTCAACGGACAAATTGTACCTCGTGTATTAAATATAAATAGTTAATTTCTAACTTTGTTTGTAGATCTGAAAATTCTTTCATCTGCGGGAAGTTACATCATACGCGGAATGACAAAGGCTTTTTGTATTATTTATGCTGGCGAAGTCGCTGGAAAACAGCTAGTGAATTATACTATGCAACCAATTATCTCACTTTGTTTATATTGTTGTATGGATTTAATTAAGGAGCCCAATAGCGCATTGGTTAGTGCGTTCGGTCTGCGATACGGTTGTTAAGTAAACCAAAAAAGTATTGTCTCACTTCGTGCTTCGGAAGGCACGTTAACCGTTGGTCCCGGCTGTTTTTTTTTAATATCCACCAATCCGCACTGGGTCGTGACCTTCCCTATTCGATTCCATCTATAGGAAATGCTTGACCCCCAGCAGTGAAGATATTAAGGCTGATGATGGATTTATTATATATTTTTTTATTGTTTCGTGTCTGCTAGGTGGGCGTGCTCAGTGCGCACGCGCTGCTCTGTAGCGGGCTCACGTGGTGGTGCGGGTACGCGGGTGGCGTCGCCCCCGAGCGGCGCCTGCCTCGTGCTTGTTGGCTAGCCTTAGTCGGCGGAGGCACCGCACTTGCATGTACCCTCCCTGCGTGGGGCCCCGGGTCCGCTGCTGAAGGGGCAGCGCACGTCGTCTGGGCAGTGTTCGCTGCGTACGCTCTCCTCCCCGTAGGCGCCCCTGTTGCGGCCGCTTTTGGTGTGGTACTACCTACTATTCACACCATCGCTGCGGCCCTCGTCGCCAATAGATTCCCTTACCACGTGTGGCAACAGGTTAGTAAATAACTTAATATAAACACAGATTTTATATGATAAGTAACAGTGTAAATTTCTCTTCGCTGTCAATGTAAAAAGATGGGTAAAGCAGCGTCTCAGTGATGTTAAATACCCAAGTAGGTGTTAACATCGGAAATAGTTAACGCTATTTATTAAGTTGAATGAATTAAAGAAATATGATTTCCGATAAATTCTAATATTTCAATACGTATTTTTAATCTTCATAAATTAACGAATACCACAGGAAAATATGTGCACTAGTAAAGAATTTTCCCTTTATTATTTTAAAGCTTTATTTAAACGATAAACGCAGTTTTCGTAACATAATTTTCATTTGTCGCACCGCGATAAATCCGAGGCACATAATATTTATAAAAAATCTTTATCATGTTTTCAACACATATTAAATTGATATCCATCTCAATCTCTTATAAATAGGTTGTCGACCTAAATACACGTGTAAACAGTCGCGTGACCATTATTTAAAAAGTGCGAGTCGGACTTCCGGACCGGAAAGTAGCAAAAAAAGTCACGTTTGTCGCATGTGAGCCCCCTTAAATATTTATTTTATTCTGTTTTTAGTATTTGTTGTTGTTATAACGGCAATAGAAATACATCTTTTTATGAAAATTTCAACTGTCTAACAAAGTTCATGATATACAACCTGGTGACATTTGTACGGGAGATTTAGAAATAACTTTGTGTACAGAACCCTAATAAGATGGTGTGACCTGACCATTTTCAATATGCCACAAGATTTTTGTAACAAATATTTATAATATACTAACTATATATTAAGGAACTAGAACCATCTACATTATTGTATTACTGTTTAGGATACTAATCCTAACTAGAATAAGACGCGTAGCGCACTGTACAGTGTATTTATTAATAATATCAAGAGAACAAAATTAAACAATAATAAAGTGCGGACCAAGAGTCTGCATACCGATTTTTCTATTATAAAACAAAAAAAAAATGACACAAACATTTCAAATACCGAACGACTGTCGGAAGCTCCATGATTAATATCAAGGTTTGTTTAGGTATAGCTTTTGTACATTTGTGTGTTAGGTTAGTTAAAAAGAAATTCTATTTAGTTAGCCAGTCAGATATTAGATACATTTTATTGAAGATAACTTTCATTAAAATCGTTCAAATATCTATAAACAAAATATTTCATATGATGTTCACTGATTCAGATTCGATTCATCTGATTAATGAGAAATTAGTTTTGATACATATGTAATTATTTAAAGATCTTTGTAAATTGACTGTAATGTGACAAAAACGACATAGTGTCGTTATAATAAATTCTAATCCCGACAGCGTTAAAATTAGCTAAAATAAGAAAAAAATGACTTTTCTCTATGGTCTCGGGTCTGGGTGTTTGTTCGTGTCCGACCTCCGTATGTATATACATACATACAGTACATACACACGTCAGTCAAATTTCTGCTATGGATTTTGACTTCTATACTCGGTATATTAAGGTTTAAAAACGAGTGGGGAAATTTAACAGTTTTGTATAGTCTGCCATGCAGTTGAATGTACCTACTGTAAATGTTTTTATTTTTCTGTTTTTATAAACCAATCATAAATCTAGGCTAACAATAGAGTAGGTATATGATATCATATCAGCAATGTCTGACATGTAGCCTAAATCTTAGTAGATACTTGACAGTCCTAATTAATTTATCCATTAAGAAGCTCCTATTTATTGTTAACGTGAATATTAATTATCTACTGCCTCTTAGAATTGTCATAATTGACCGTACGTAATTTAAATATATAATTTAAATAATAATTTAATAATGTATTATTGTGAAGAGAAAAATAAATCTGTTAAACAAACTCGTAGAGTATTTTCATATGAGAGAAAACACAAATTGCTATAATATAATGCATATTGCGTACCAAATTCATTATCGAATTAAATAGAAAGGTCACCAGGTCGTTCCTTTATAGATAATTGTAATTGTAATCTAACCGGGTTTTGTGTAAGTACAAGAGCAGGAGATTAAAGTAAACAAAAAATAAATATAAGACTTTCGTCCGTAATTTTCCACATGTCGGAATTTATTGATTCATTTAAGTTTCTTCGCTTCATCATCATCATCATCCCTTTTTCGTCCCCACGGCAGAGGCTTAAGCCTTCCTTGTGGATGGTTAAGGAGGATGAGCATGAACCTCCACGCTGTATGCGGATTGGAGAATATTAGCGACAAAAGCAAATGCAGCCGGGACTATTTTGTTGGTCACCCATCCACAGACCCTTGCGAAAGTTGCTTAACAACAACGATTGCGGGTCGCGACGCTTATCCACTACTCCACCGAGCTACTATTATCTTCGCTTTTTCTTCAATTATAGGTGGCATTCATTGAATTGGTTTCTGACATATTCATCGAGGGTAAGGCTATTTAAGGAAGGTCACCGGCTCATATGTCGATCCATCCCTGGCACAAGATAACCACCCCGCAAGGTCTGCGCCCGTAATCGCGTGACCTCACGTCACGCCTAAACAAACGTAACCTTGCCCATAAAGCTAGGTTCTTCAAGGCTTTTCTATTTACTTTGCTAATTTCCGTTTAGTGGTTTGTCGAGTTTATTAGGTACTCGACAAGTTGATGGATTGTTTAATCGGCGAACTTTATGTTTGGTACACGAAAGTTTACATTTTTATAGTCCACTATTTTATACACCCGACGTACCTACTTATTTTGTTGCAGCTTATTTACCAACTTAAAAAAAAGTAATTGATTGTATGTAAAATTTTTGGAATTGCACAAATTTTATACTTATATCAGTATTGTCAGTCGGAACAGTGTGTATGTATGTATATAATCTATGTTTGTCCACGTATTTCCGGCATATTTAAAATAAAATCTCTATTATTCTTCTTTTGTTTGATCATGCGACTTTCATAGAAATTGGTTCAGTAGTTTTGGAGATATAAACTAGACAATTTACCAGATTTAAAAAAAAGGACGAAATTAAATATATTAGAAGAAAGGAAATATAATAAAATTTAAACCCACTTCGAAAAAGCTATATAAAAAAAAACTATTTAAGTGGGGATAATATTATAGTTAGCTTTTGTTTATACTCGTATAATTATTTTGCACCAAAGCATTTTGAAGTCTGCTTTCGTCTAATGATATGTTGTATACAAAATCAATTTTTTATTATTGGAAAGTCAAAGAAAATAATCCCATGAATCTGGCAAAGACTGCTCTCTTCTTACTGTTTCATCTCATTTTCTAGAAATAAAATTGGAATATCTAAAATTACCATAAATTTTCCTAAGAAGAAATGAAAATGACTCAAAAAGTGAAATACCCAATCCATTTTTTATGCAATTAACTAATGAATGAATACGGAATAAACCATGCAATTTTGGTTTTGTTTTCTTTTTATTATGGTGTGTAACACATACTCATAGTTATATGACTGATGAATAATATTGTTACTAGATGTTTTTCCGTGACCTTGCCTGCGTAAATTATGTTTTCAGAAAAGAATTTCAAAATGGAATCAAACGAAATTAATAACTGTAGATTAAGTAGCAATATAGCTCTTACCGTGGCAACATATATCAGAGAGTAGATCAGAAAATGTATTCCAATGTAGAAACCATAAAATGCTAAGAATGAAGTTTTCAACAATAAAAGTTGGCCTTGAGACTTCCACATACATATTGTGTAGTTGATACAGAGTATTTCATAGTAGACAGCGACTTCGCCCGCGCAGTTTTCCCGTTTTTCATTGCTACTCCATACCTATTAGTCATAGCATGATGTTATATATATTGTTATATAGCCTCGATAAATGGAATATTCAAAACATAAATAATATTTCAATTCGAACCAGTAGTTCCGGTGATTGCCGCGATCATCCTTATAATATTAAGTATAGATTGGTTTTTCGTTTGCGTCCCGCCTAGACTTTTATGTGTTAACAATGTGATAAGCCTTGAAATAAACTTTTGGCACCAGCTCCGGATTTATTATGGTAATAATAAAATTTGTATTATATGTTTTTCTGTATAGATTTTGATAGTTTGCTTTAAAATAGATGAAATATATATTCAAAACTCTTTTATTATTAAATTTCATAACAATTTAGATCATCTATTCTTTAAGGGGGTTTCCGTGGAAAAGTTAGGGTTTTACGAAAACATTTATTCGTTACTCATAGTTGCGTAATTATTGATAAAACAGTGACATACTTTTAAGTGTTTAGATTTCAATAAAATGTATTATCTTTGTCATGATATAAATTACAGTGTTATTTTTATAATCTTTTGTATTTTTCTATAAAATCAAAGGCATTCGTTCTGTTATCTTAATAATTTGGGAACTTCAGATAGATAAATCTCTTAAATTAGGAAAAAATTGATAAATCATTATGTAGCCATAATAACAACTTTGCTGTTAGCGAAATAAGATTATTGACGAAATATCAATTCCCATTTAGAATAAATATAGACTAGTACTTTTTCAAACAACAGACTAATATAAAACGCGCTGAGTTAGGTTAGGTTTGTACTATGTACGATTTTATTTCAAAGAGGGCCCGAGTATGTACATTATTAATAACTACAAAGAGGTTTATTTCAAATATTAAAGAGTATCCGGTGTTAATAACGTTTTGTACTTAATATTCATACGTTTACGACCGCTCTGGTTTGTACTATGTATTCAGGATAACATAAATTTCATTGCCCTCCGCAAATGTTCTCGGTGTGGTAGTTATTTAAAGAGATGGTTTATGGCAGCATTTCTCAAACTCTTCGGCGACGGAACCCTCTTGGACATATTTAATTGGAGCTTTATGATGGAGCGTAAAATAAAGTCTCTGTGTATTCATTGCGCCAGCATCTATTATAAGTTTCCAACTTTGTTTGAAATTAAAGTTGGAAACTTTAGTTCTTTATAATATTATAATAGTATAATATTATAAAGAACTAAAGTTTCCAACTTTGTTTGTTTGTTTA